CTGTTTAAAATAAATTATATGAAAAAGCAGTTTCAAGCTCTAAACAATTCACTACTACTCATAACAAGAATGTGAACTTTTCTAAATGTTTTGGATACATACTGGGATAACACGCAGACTGGTGAGGTTAGGTCCATCGAACCAGGTGTCTGTAAAACATCTGAATTTACAACACAGAGCTCCGTGCGGCTCCGTGCGACTCCTTGCTACAGGCTCACCCACATACACAACACATTCTTGTGAGCAGACACTCGTCTTCTTCAAGCAGGTCGGCGGCACTGAAGGATAAATACAAGGCAGGAGGCCTCTACATCACAATAAACCAGCACCCAGAAAAAAAAAAGGGTTTTAACAAAACCATGGATTGGTTTTGATTAAAAAAAAAAAAAAAAAGTACAAAAACAAGAGGGTCACATCCTTCATGGTATGACCTTCTGAAACAGTCCTCTTATTGTGCTCAGACAGATGTGGATCAGTAGCGTCGACCAAAGGCTCCACTCTGCAGTCCGCCACCCTGCAACAGTTGGTTCTGCCTGTTAAGAGCTCCAGAGAGAGACTGGGATGTTCCTGTGTTCATGTAGCCTCCACGACTGGTGAGGCAAGAAAGACAGACACACAATGATCCACACTGTTTAACCAAAAGGACAACTAACTGATATTCTCTACTCACCCTGCCATTCCTCCACGTGCCATGTGACTCTGGCCTGGGATAGCCCCATCTCTACCTGAAATGTAAAAGCAAAATAACACACACACAGTTCAAGACGACAGCAATATAGCCCTAGACTCAGGAGGACACTTAATTCTAAGATGGTTTTGTTTTAGGACATGTTCTACCACTTGACCCTCCTTAAGCCTGCTACTGTACATTAAGGCATCACAAAAGCAGTCAGTGCAACAACAGAGCTATATTCATTACACACGCAGTGTTCATACCTTGCCATGCTCTGTCACCATCCACCTTGCGCCCAGAGTCCCAATCACGACTGTCCCTATATTTCAAATGAAAAATAATAATAATAAAAAAAAACATTTATTTTACATTTCCAGAAAATTGCAGCACTGAACTTTCTTGGAGATTTTTGATGAGGAAGAGTTGGATGCTCACCTGGGGTTCATGCGCTTGTCATAGCCTCCGCCCCAGGAGTCTCGGCCATCTCTGCCATGTCTGTCTGACAAATGCTGCAGGAAAAGGATAAAGTTAAAACCCCCGCACTTGTTCATGTGCAGTTGCTGCAAACTGTCATTTTTACAGTTCTGTAGGGGATGTAAACACCACTACAACACGGCCAGAGCACGTTTATATGTGCAGTGATCTGTGTGTGAAGTACATTCCACACCTCTTACCTGACCATCTCTGTCTGCACCTATGCCACGAGCGCCATCCCGCCTGTCCATCATGATGTCATCTTGGTAACGGCCCCGGTCTCTGTGGTCAAAGTCCTGATAACGTTCCTGACGACCAAAGTCTGAACGGCCGTAACGGTCATCCATGGCCATGCGCTTATCAGGCCAATCATCCTTCCTGAAAAAGATCAGACAACATGAAATTCATCCACTGAGCTGCTCTGTACCCAGTTGATATATTGTACATACAGAATGACTGGAGCTCCCACTCTTACTACCCGTAATATTTTAATCCTGGTGAACAGAATGAACAAAAAACCTACTGAAATGTACCTCTGCTAAGACATGAATGTATTCATCAATTATCCTGGTCAACGATGTCTGTTGTTATTAACCTGCCATCTAGGTCATAAGGCCTCTTAATTGGGCGTCGCTCCTGTTCATAGCGCAACTGCTCCTGCTGCCGTCGAAGCTCCTCACGCTCCCTGAGGATCCTTTCCTGTTCACGCCTCCTCTCGTACTCTATACGTAGCCTTTCGCGCTCCAGGAACTGACGTTCCATGCGGTCTGCGTCAAGGCGCTGCTTCTCAGCCTGAGAATGAAACCATGACCAAATAGAAATGTAGTTATAAGATTTGTAACAAAGACAGCATCATATAGCAAGAAAGCAGTTTCTGTAAGCAGAAACACTGAGAGCAACTAAGACAGAGGGAAATCCCTTGTCATAAATAAGTAATGTGAATGTACCTCAAGCCAGTTCCTCTTCCGCATCAAGTGTTTCCTCTCCTCTCTCTCCCTGAACAGACGGATTCGCTCTCGCTCACGAGATGGGTTGTTGTCACGATCCCTGAAAGTAGACAGGGAAGATCCATCTTATTTTTAGAGATTGCACACAAGTGTGCATTGTATTAAAATTAAGGAGAGTAAAAATACAGTAGATTGAAGAGTAATCAAACGCCAAAACAACTTTTTTCAGTGGAAAACCATTCTAAACAGGGATTTAAGTAGTGCTGCTGATCGATTCAGGTCCAAATCTAGACATTTTAGTGCAAAGCATTTGAATTCAGCAACCAAACAGGACAGGAACAGACTCCAACAAACAGTCAGGACCACAGAAGATAACCAGTGCCAGCCTGCCCTTCATGCCCTCCAGATCCCTCACACCCTGGACATAAAGTGTTTGAACTGCTCCCCAATGAACGGTGCTACAGGTCAATATACAGCAAAACCACCAGACACAAGGACAATCTCTCCCCCCAGGCCATCACTCTCACGAACACTTAGCCCATGACTGAACATCAACCCTCAGTGCAATAGAAAGAAAGAAAGTCACTTCGGCTTTTCCCGTTTAGGGGTCACTACAGCGAATCGTCACACTGACGACTCGCATGTTGACATTTGGAAGGTGTTTTATGCCGGACGTTCTTCCTGACGCAACCCTGACTTGGACCTGGGCTGCGGCGGCGAGAGCACTGCGCCTTAACCACTAGCCTACCAGGGACGGCAACCTTGAAAAAATACCTTTGTATATATCTACCTGGAAAAATGAACATAAAGTGTGTGTGTGTATATTTTGTCAGTTTCCTCATGTGTCCAACACACCTGGCCAATAAAACTGATTCTGAATGTGTCATAAATGTACATAGGGACTGCCCTCTACTGGTGGAAACCCAGCTACTGCAATTGAATTTTGATATACGCTGATCTGGTGGCAGGTGATGTGCACAGCTCCAGCTTTTGAGGTTATCTATGTTAGCATTAACAAGCATGAAGAGAGCTTAAAAAAAAAAGAAAATACCTATATGAACAAGATTTATTACTCAACAAAGGCAGTATACACACACACAAGTCCTTACGTGTATCTGCGTCTCTCAACCTCTCTGATCTCCCTCTCTCGTTGTCTCTGCCGTTCCCTCTCTCTCTGCTCCTTGATCTGATCGAATGACAGAATGTCTTTCCTCTCCTTACTGGTTGACTGGCGGTCCCGACTCTTTGTGCTCTGGGAAAATAACAGAAAACAGTTTAAGTCAAAGGGCAACTGCAAAAACAACCCCAAACAGGACGTGGCAATACAAACATGAGTAACACAAAGAAAATTTGCTTTCTGTAAAGTTGTCTTTGCTTCTCAAGCTGTTTTCAACACATGCCTACTGTAGTTAACGGTTCCCTTCTTTTAAACCTCTATATACTCACTTTATGTAGCAATTACTGACACGTTCAGATGGAAAACTCAAGTACAGATGTTATAGGGGGTAGAAGTTCACTTACTCGTTCCTTGCTTTTGGTCTTCACGCTGATGACAGGCTCTCCTTTGGACTTGTCCATAACTACAATCCTCTCATTTTGCCCTGTGGAGAACAAATATAGCTGATATTGTCAAAGACAAATATACAAATAAATGCTTTAGAGGTAACCGTTTCCTTGTTAAGTTTGGAATGATTGCACTTTTCTCACCTTTGCCATCTTTTCCTTCTCCCTCAGACTTCTCATCCTTTCCATCAGACCTACAGAAAATATTAAGTGCAAGCTCTATCATAACTAGATCAGCCAACATTTCACACAACAAAACAACAACTGCCTTACTTTTCTTCTATATACTGGATATCTTATAGCTCAGAGGTGCCAACGGCTGTGGTTAAAGGTAACCAGTGGGGCATGTCAGGCTAAAAGTGAATGCACCCATGACATTAAAGACACACCGGGCCAAAACACCCAGCTGGTAGCCTTTACTCAAACATGTGGCAGTTTCTAAGCCATCTTACTTGGAATCAGAGGAGTGCCTCCTGTTGCCGCCAGCTTTCTTGGTGTCATTCTTGTCTGCTGGCTTCTTCCCCGCAGGCTCATTTTTAGCCTACAGTTTCAACAAAACGTGTTTATTCACATGAGCTGAAATTACTTGTTCCATAGTGATCATTTCCCATAGAGACTAAATTTAATAACAGAAAATTAGGCTCTGCCTACAAAAGATCAGATTATCACCCATCCGTAAGGTATTTTCCTGAGTGAGACCATAATTACTGAGGAACAAAGAAAGCACTATGATGCAGTAAGACTCTTCCCCCATCTCTCACCCGCTCCACTGAGATCATCCTGCCATGCAGTTCAGTCCTGTGAAGGTGGCTGATACATTTGGTGGCCTCTTCTGTGGAGGACATGGTGACAAAGCCATAGCAGCGAGCTCCAGGGCTCTTGGCATTGGTCACCACCTTAGCTCCAACAACCTGCAGGGAAAAAACAAATAGTGGAAAGAATGCTGAGAGGTAGAGATGGCCAAGGAATGGGAGGAAAAATGCTCGGTTCTGGATTAAATCTAAATGATCTACAAATTCTAGGCCAGGTGATACCAGCGAGGGATGGTCTGCATAGACTAACCTTGCCATATTTGCTGAAGAGGGTCTTCAGATCAGTCGCTCTGGTAGTGGAAGACAGACCACTAACCCACAGATTTCTGCTACTGCTTGGTGCAGCACCAGTTCCAGTGGCTACATACATTCACACAAAAATGAATGAGCATATATCCAATGAATGTTAAAGACCAGAACAGAAAAGAAAGCTTCCATTCACTGACCTTTTTCATCTTTTGACTCAGTCTGGTCATCTTTTTCCTCAGAGCTAGAGACAGAAAGAAAAAGCCATAAACACACAGCGGTGAGAACATCTGGGATCATTCCCCACATTTAGTTGTGTTTTATGGATTAATAAAAACCTGACAGTGATCAGTCCATCATGTACCAGAGTGCAGTGCTTTAACAGTGGATAAATGGAACTATACCATTTGACAATCCCAGTAAATTACTTGTTAATGGGTAATAACACACAGAACTTGAGTGTAAGGTATGACAAATGAGGACAGACAGATTCACAGAACATTTTTTACCTCCAAAAGAGCATCCAAATTTTTCTAGCACAAACGAGCCAATGCAACAGAGATAGCCATTTTGGTTTCTAGTAGACAGAAAGCAACAAACCTCTTTTTCTGATCATCGCCCTCTACAGAAGAGCACTCTTTCACTGTCGAGGCTGAATCCGCAGCAGCTTTCTCTTCTGTCTTCTCATCCTCCTCACCCTTCTTAGACCCCATTTCTGAATCAAGAGTTTCACCCACGGCGCCCTGTTCACTTACACTAACATCTTGCGAGCTTTTGTTTTCAGCATCAAATGTCTCTTCTGGGACATTCTGCGTCCCCCCAACCTCTTTGGTGTCAGTCTCCACAACATCCCTGTCGCTCTCCACATCTCCAGAGGTGGCTTTGTCGGATTTGGCACCAGTGTCGGACATAGCACCAGTGTCGGACACAGCACCAGTGTCGGACACACCGTCTTCTCCTTCGGCGGTGGCAGCTTGCTCTTCTTCAGGGTTCGTCTCGTGGCTCTGGGGTTGATCTTCGTTAAGCGGCTCAGATAAACAAGACCCGGCTACTTTGTCATTTTCTACGGATTTAACAGGAATAAAATGGCACAGAGTTTAATCACTTCTGAAACACAGCAATGGTTAACGAGGAACTGGCAAGGCCTGGATTAGGAACGTCATGACTGGCCTGTGCTCCTAGAACTATGAATTACAACGATGAAGTAGACCCTAATAAGAGACTGGAAGAGAACCCAAAGGCTGGAGGACAACCAAGCAACTATTGCAACTAACACACTGGCTCATTTTTCAAGTTGAACCACTTCACTTTGTTCACCTGACCCAAAGCAGACAAAGGTAGGTCAGTGCTGAAGAGAGCCACAAGATCAGCGGTGCAGCAGTAGAGGCTTGCTGCAGTCCATCTTCTTTCAGCCTTTGACTTTTCCAGTGTCCATTTACATTGTCCACAACTTCAGCTCAAGTCCAGCAGATTCATATCCAGCCGATTTCTGAGTCAGTGTCTTTAAAAGTTGTAAGAGTTGACGAGACTTAATGGATCTTGGTCTTGATCTTCATGTGGCAACCTAGAAACACTGCAATCACCTGCAACAGCTCAGACCTCCCTGACCATTTTATTGCTGTCAATGTGCATCAAATTGTTAACCGCTGCTATTTTTACTACCAAGAAGAACACTGGTGACTTGACCAGTATTTAACACTGACATTACTAATCACGGTTAGCAAAGTTCAACACAAAGCCAGCAATTTCCTTTGGGCTTCCAGTCTCTCTTCCTAAACAGTGTGTTTGCATTCCAAGCTCAACACTGTAAAAAGATGCCTCCACATTTTTATGAACCATTTTCTACAGTACCTGTTTCTTCTTGCACATCATCTGCATCTGGTTCCCGAGCCTAAAACGAAAAATTCCTTATTAAAGCGCGACACATTTACCATAGCATAACAAGTTTTACACACATGAAAAGTATGTGAGGAAACGTACCATATAGACTGCTGAAGACATCATATATTCATCTTTATCCAACATCTCAGGCTCGTCCATCTGTTACAATGCATAAAACAACATTAAAACTTGTGAAGTTAAGATAAAAATTTGTTTACAAGTTTCTAGTCTACTTGCTCACATCTCGACATCTTGTTTCATCCTCTGACTCGAATGCTGTGTTGTCATGTTCTTCACTCATAGCTGCGTCTTCCTCTCCGTGAAAATTCTCTGTTTCATCCTCATCATCCTCAGCTGATATTCCATTGTCGTTTTCGGTGTCATCCAGAATGTTCATTTCAAGGATGTCCATTTCCTGCATGTTCTCTTGATCATCCTGAAGATCCTCCTAACAAAGAAAACACTTGTTTAAAAAAAAGTAAAATAAAAATACTATAATATCCAGAGACCAACAATTCTGTGGTCTTTAAAGAGGTCCTCAAATTCTGCATAAACATTTCACAGCACTTAAACATGTAAAATAGGTCAATCTTTCTAGAAACTCACATGCCCATCATGGGAATCCTCCTCAATAGTGCTGTCTTCTGGTTCATCACTCTCTTGCTTGGTATCTACAGAAAATTAATTAAAAATTTCATTAGTATATAGGCCCAAGTTTTGATCAAGGTGTCTAATGGGTGCCAAAGAAAACCGATGCACATATACCAACTTCAAAAGACCAAAATTACCTTTGCATTTGTAGACCATCTACTTTCCAGTGTCAAAGAAATTCTAGCATTTTCCGACTCAATCACAATTTGTGGCAGGACTATTGGCTTACACACATCCGGCAACAGATGGCACCCCCCAAAAAACTTGTCTTATCACATGAGAATTTGATAGTTAAAATTTCAGGGCCCTGAAGTGGATAACACCATATACATTTAAAAGAGTACCAATCAGCCTTGCAATGAGGTGCACTAGAGCTTTTGTATTTATGTAAGTATTTATAATTACATTTTGTACTCAACTTTGGCATCTAATTAACATTAAATGGTGGTTTTAATAGCATGTTAAGTGAATCACTGAGTCTATCCTCTGCTCATTCACCACTGTCTGGTTTGGCCCAGCAACCAAGCAGGACAGGAACAGACTCCAGCTGACAGACAGAACTGTGGAGAGCCGGCCTTCCATGGAGGACCTGTACACCTCACGGGTCAAAAGGAGGACAGAGAGGATTTCTGCAGACCACTTATGTCCTGCACACAAACTCTTTGAACTCCTCCCCTCCGGACAGCGCTACAGGTCTCTGTGCGCCAAGACAACACAGAGACCGTTTCTTCACCCAGGCTATTACACTCTTGAACAGCTAATCTGTGTTTAATCTTTTAACTTATCCTTTGCAACTTGTATATATTTTTTATTTATTTTGTTTTTATTGCTGTTTATATCAGAGGCCATTGGGCGGAAGTCAAATTCATTGTATTTTTGATAATACTTGGCAATAACGTTTATGCGAAATGCTTAATGAACATACTTGGTCAAAGTTAGGTGACAGTCTCTCATACACTGCTACTTCTTAGTGCAGAACTTCGTGATCTCGTCATGGATGCATGATAGGAGCTGGACCCTGCACTCAAAGATGATGCCCAGAGACTTGGGCAAAATGTACTCATCTGGAATGACCAGGGAAATTTATCGCGGCAGTACTGCGAGTGGCCACCGGGTAAAAGGGCGGTATTAGTGACTAACGGCCCCGCATCCAGCTGTCATTATGCAACTATAGTTCACGTGCATAAAATCTAAACTCCACGTTTTATTGTGGGCAGGGGGGGTCCACTTCGCATCTAGTGCAAATTTTACCTTTAGCAGCCCGTTTAGGCATAGAGCTGGCTTTCTTTGGTGCTGAATCCGAGATGACAATAATCTCATCAGGATTTCCACCCTCTTCCTCGATAGCCTGTTGATGAAGAGAAAAGCAAAGCCGCAAATGAACACTTTATTAACCTGTACAAATAAGGGGAGTTTAAAATTAACCCGCGTCAAATATATAAAAAGCCACGAAAGTGAAGTCATTTGGCGTTAGCTAGTTGCTTGGCGCAAACGCTAGCTAGCTTAGGGTTAGCACACAGCAAGAGCTACCATAAATCAGTGACCTTCCTAAATAAACGTTGCATTAAGGTATTATTGGTTTGACAGGGTACATTTACAACTACAGAAAATAAAGGTTCGTGTGGAAACTATGTGACTAACTTTAGTGAAAGCGGACAGAAATACCTTTTTTAGACGCTCCGATAACACGCTCTTAACACCCGTGGTGTCCAGGTTTCGTTTCTTCAGCTCGGCCTTCAAATCTATAACTCTCAGCTCGGAGAGTTTGCGCACCTCTGCGCCCTCCGGAATATCCACATCTGCTGATGGATCAGCCATCGTTTTCTCCGTGAAAATATCCCTTCAGCTTGAAGTTCCCTGTTGTTTTTATTTGAAATGCACCTTATTTACTAACGCTGCAGCAAAATGCAACGAGCTCACTTGCAAAATGGAGGCCGCAGAGAGTCCGTGACGTCATCGCGCAGTAGCGTTTAAGGATGGGCGTATCGATACGTCGATATTTTGGAGTCGATACTTTTTTTTAAGTGTCGCGATAGCATTGTGCTAATACAAAACGTGCAATTTGTTTTCACTTTTGAGGGTTTTAGGTTTTAAATTTATGTATGAAAACCAGCCCGAGCATATTTTAGATGGTCTTCCGTGTCACATGATTATGGCAACCAATCCATAATCCATAAATCCAAAATCTTACTGCGCAGCCTCAGTCAAGCACTGCCTAAAATCCTTACTCTGTTGCTCAGTCAGCAGCATCGCTGCGTGGCAGAATAGATGGTCGAGAGAAAAAAAAAGGAAGCAAAGTGTGGTACTTTTTTTTTTCCACCCACGACCAAAGTTAATGCCATGTGCTCTGTCTGCAATAAAGTGGTGCCACATAGCAGCAACACTAGCAACCTCTTTAAGCATATGAAGACTTTTTTCCCCCTTTTATTAAGTCAAACCAAACAGACAAGCAATTACAAAGTCTAATACAAATATTGAACAGTACAAAGACTGAGCAAGTACAAAATTAACTAACATTATCCCAATAGAACAGGAAAGCCAAACAAACAGGGAAGCCAAACGACACGCACACGCAAAAAAAACTATTCAACACATACAGTGCACTTCAATGAATCACTCAAAATAAAAAGCTCTTTCATAAAAACTGAGAGATGTGGGGTCAAATTCCTAAATTTGCATTTATGTATATAATATTTTGCCATAATTATCAAATTGTTTAACATAAATTCCATTCTTGAGTCCTTTAAAATTATACCAAATTGAATATTTTCATAGTTTAATTGAGATAGAGACGGATTATCCTTTAAACACCACTGACAAAATGCTTTCCAAAATGAAGAAGACACACTACAGCTGAAGAAAAGATGTTCCTGCGATTCCATGTCATTTTCACAAAATGTACATACATTTGTGTCAAGACCAAATTTAAGGTACAACAATTCTTTACATGGATAGATTTCATTCATTGTTTTAAAATGCACCTCTTTAGCTTTAGGTGAAATTGGGAACTTCAAGAAATAACATCTTATTTTCTTTGCATCAGAGGAAGCATTCAGATATCTTTCTAGCAAATACCTTCTTTTCAGAGATGAAGGAAAACATGCTTTAGTAAGTGTGGTTCTTAAAAATTGGTTTTTACTGCATTTGTCAGATAGAAAAGTACAGTCTTGTACTAATAAAGGGTGTAAGCAAGGTATCATCCTTTGATAATATAGTGAACCTTTAATATTTATGAGAATAGCTCGTGGTATGGCTTTTATCACCTTATTATATTTATCCTGAGTACAGTTTTATACTTGTTGTTGAATGCTATTAGGTCCAGAATATTGTCTCTGTTGTCTATTAGATGTCGAATTGACCAAATTCCTTGGTCCGCCCACTCCTTCCAGTAAAAGGACTTTCTCTTTATCAATATGTATCGATTGTTCCAGATTGGCGTATTATGTGGGGAGAAATTGTGCTTGAAAATTAATTTCCAATAAAGCAGAACCTGTTGATGGGATTTAGACAATTTTACAGGCAATTATTAATTTCAAAGTCACATTTCAGTAAAAGTTCCACACCACCAAAGCTCGAAAATATGCATCTGGGGAGACTGAACCAAATATTATCAACCTGTTTAATAAAGGTTTGTAACCATTTCAATTTTAAGGAGCCGTTCATAGGGTCAAAGTCAATAGCATTCAGACCGCCATCTTCCAGTGATTTAATAACATCATTCTTCCTTATATAATGATGCCTGTTCTTCCAAATGAAGTTAAAGTTGTTTTGATTAATGATTTTGATTATATTATCAGGTATATGTAGGGAATATGCTGGATAAATTATTCTAGAGAGATTTTCCATTTTTGCTAGGAGGACCCTTCCAAATATGGATAGGTCCCTTTGTAACCATATATTTAGAATAGATTTACTTTTTTTAAAAATTTCTTCAAAGTTAGCTTTCTCTCTGACTTCCGGCTTCTTAGATACAGTAATACCCAAATATTTAACTTCTTTTTTGATTGGTATTCCTTCAATATGAGTTAAAGGATTGTCATGGATTGCCAACAACTCACATTTACTTTAATAAAGACCTGATGCCTGTGAGAATGAAGAAATGACGTTGAGAGCTTTTGTTATCTGAGTTGCATTTTTAAGAAATAAAGTTGTATCATCCGCAGGTTGACTTATAAAGCATTTGAAGACAACACACCCTGACACTTTTAAAGAGGCTGAACATCGCCATGAAGACCACCAGCAAGCCTCAAAAGTTCCCTGCACCATTTGTTGTCCGTCAGAAGACATTGCAGGAGAGTTTCATGAAAGGCAAAGAATATCCGGTGACAGTGAATGTGTTATAAGTGATTTAAAAATTGAACGAACCATTATTTTATTAAACTACCCCAAACTGCAACTGAGCTATGTGAATCTTGGACGAAGCCATGTTCACCACCATTTAGTTGACAAATGTAAAGGCTCACATGCTTGCACTGTATCGGAAAATACTGACAAACAGTTTTGTTTCTAGAATGTTATTAATGGAAGTAATTTTCCTTTAAAGTGCAAAAAGTACCATAAGCTAATGATATCGTATAGAAAGGAGAAATGCTGGTATCGCCCATCCCTACTAGCGTTATAGTGCAGAGAGGCACAGGGAAAAACTGCCGTCATTTAGGCTCAGTTTGTATGAAATTTGTGACAAATTTAGCAGGAAAAACAAGACGTGTACACTCAGTAATGAGGATGAAGTACTTTTTACCTTCATGTGAATGTGCGTGAGATGTCATAAAAATTACAAAAATCAGTTCATATTCAAAGATCTTCTATATTTTCTTCCCTTTTAGAACACGTCAGACTTGATCCAGAGTGTAATTACTTTTGTAAGGCATAATGTAGTTGTGTATTATAAAAATGCTTACAAAACATTACAAAAACTATGCATATTTAAGACAAAGGTTATGGCTAGGTCAGTGTTACTGAAATGGAAAATTCACAGGCTTTTTCACCAACGTTTGGCATTTTATGTTTACGCCTACTCATGATTTATGTGAATCAGGTTTCATAATGCCTACTGAGTCTGAAAATTGTACACGTCACTAAATTTGTAGTTTGTGTCATTTACTTGGCTGTGGGGCAAGCTCTTGCTGGCAACAAGAGGTTGAGGGCTATCAAATAATTCAGGACTGTCATTCTCCTCCGGTATATTGGCAGTCTTAGATGAAGTCCAAGAGTCAGCGGTGGAAGAATCTCTGCCAGTCTGTGAATAACATGACCATTTATTAGAGGCTGAACCAACAGGAGTGAAGCTCTCGGCATTGGAGGAACACTCGGGCACATTGAAGGAGTTGAGGCTGAAGGAGAAGTCTTGAGGAGTTCGTGGTTCATAGAAGTTGAGTTTAGAGACCAGTGGTTTTCCAACTGTTACTGGTTGCCTTTCTTCTACTTCATCATCCATGTTGGAATAGGTGTAATGAAGACAGACGGTGAATGTGAGCTCCCTCTATAAAGACAGTGGAGAAAAGAGTGTGATTTAGCTTTAGACAAAAAAAAATGTAAACAGGCTTGCAAGGTTCTGACCTCCTTCAGAAAAAACATGAAATCTCTCTAAAATGGGCTATTAAATCAATATAACAAATTTTATTCTCAAATGTATTAGGTAGACAAATATATCTTTATATAAATTATTCAAAGATGTTTTAAATTGTGGTTTAAGCTTTATTTCTGACTCTAGTAGGGAACAAACATTTATTAGGTTTCTCCTTGGACAGAAATAGAAGAACTAGTTATGAAAATGATGACAAGTGTCTGACCCTCAGTCTCTGGAGGCTGCTGATACGTGTGTAAAGACTGGGGACCTTTGTTGAAGGCAGACTTTCCTCAATCAATAATAAACTGCCTGCTTCAAGCAGAGTCTCCTGGTTACTCTTCTTCAGATCAATGTCCACATCCTGCAAAAAAAACATAGGCAGACCCTAATTTTTTTTATTTTTTGCCTGCTTCATTATCCATGTTAATAAATTATTTCCAACATAATCATGTATTGTGAAACACTTAAGAATTCCAGGGACAAGGATGATAAGTCATTATGAGTGAGAACAAATCTTCTTCAGGTTTAAAATCTCAAATCTACATAAGTAATATCAACTAACGAACCTCAGGGAAGTCAGTAAGCTGAGCCGAGCAGGAAACTATTTCTTTGGGCTTGTAAAGTATCCGAGTGTAGATGACCATGACATTGGAGAACTCTGCAGCAAAGCCAAGCTGAACTGTCACCCCGCAGTCAAACTGCAGGCATTGGCTCTTAGGTAGGACTATGAAGAAGTGCATTTCATTTAGGTATACTTTACCACAACATGGTACAACAAGAACTCTTTATATGTAATCATTTAAGTTTATTTCTGTGAAAAGAGTACCATGAGCAATGGCCCACTGCAGGTTGCGAGCTGAATAGGATGCAGAACACTTGGTGGTCTGTACTTGGTCGGTGAGGGAACGTCGTTCAGACAGATTACTGCGTAGCTCCAGAGCTTGCCTCCCTTGCGTGATTTCACAACGACCCATATCTGGTAACAGTAAAGAACTTTTAATGTACAGTATGCAGTACTTAGAGATGTTAAAGAATAACTGAATACTAATTTATTGAGAAAGATAACTGCTGGGTTGAAAATGAACCCAAAAAATGTCGCCACATCAAGTTTTCCGTCAGCTGCCAGTGCTATAACATGAATGTCATGTGGCCAGCAGTTCTGAATTTTTATTATATTTTATCCCTAGGGATTCAGTCTTTAATACCTTAGAGCCTTTGCCCCTACTCAATGTTGGCACATTGACCCACACAGAAACTGTTTCTGTGTCTCTCACGGAATTGTTATTTTTCTGTTTATTTGAAGCTACATTACAGGCGCCAATGCTTTGCAGCAGGATTATTCAACAGGCCTTTTTCATAGTAGACATTTTGACTGTCATAGCAGGAAAAATACAGAGGGAACTAACGACAGTAATGATTAATGATGGCACTATTCCATGGGTGTTACAGTGAGCCACGTCAATGAGCCAATGTGCACAACAGCAGTCACGTTAAGTGCAAGAGTAAAACAACCCATAATGACAGTGCAGTAGTTGGTTCAGTTAATGTTTTACACCTGTCATTTTAGTACAGTTTTAATTATCTGATAACACTGGGATAAATTATGTCAGAGGTTTGGACACACAAACTCAGATGTGGCTTACCTCACTCTCAGATACACAATACAAAACATGACAAGAAGCCAGGCAGAAGCAGAAGCAGAAGCAGAGATGATTAGGCACATAATGATCTGAATTCTGTACAACTTCAGCACAGTCAAAAAGGCACACAAACAATATACAGGGCGTTGGAAGAAACAACAAAGACATAATTATTAAAGAAGCTGCATGGCAGCTACTTTTAGGCCGTGTGTTGTAGAGTAACCCATTATAATGACTTCAAATATACAGAATAATCTCAAAGAGTCAGGTGTAATGATCCCCTACATACAAAACCCTTGATGTAGATCAATTGTAGGACAAAAATGAAGACCCTTCAATTTCACAGGTGTGCTCTACATACCTTCAGCCACTTTGTCTAGCATTTGGGTGACCTTCTCATCTTCACACACTCGCCTTTTGAGGAAGCTTATGAAGATGCCGTTTGACACGTCTTCCTTTTTCACCTCATATGCTTCTGCATCAGCACATCTGAAAACAACCAAGTACACATGAATGACAACTGTTACATAATTCATAGATGTCTTAACTATATTTCTCTTGTCTTAAATCACATTTTGACACCAAAAAATGAATGTGTCAGAGGAGACAGGCAACTTACGTGGCATAGCCAAACACTATATTTGCTGTCACCTTCAGCAGTCCTGTTTGTACAATGACATCATCATTTGGGTTTCTAAAAAAAAAGAAAACATTTGAAGCACAAATATGTACAGCAGATGGTTTAAGCTCAACATGACATAAAAAGATTTGTAAATCAATTTATTCATGTAAACCAGCACCCATACCTTTTGCGACACATGTCAAGCAGGAACACGTTGAGTCCAGTCTCTTTCTCCTGCATCCTGGTAAGTATATTCTGTACACACAAACAGTGCTCTGATGTGTAGGAGGCTGGTGCATCGATAGGAACCATGAAACTGTTGCCATAGTTCTCATAACCATGACCAGCAAAGTATAGTAAGCCTGTGGAAGAAAGGACAAAGCAGTGCTATCAAATTTGAGCAACTGTGTCAGTCACATAGTGGCAAAAACATTTTAAAAAAAGTCAGAATGGGTGCAGGATCAGATTCTTGGTGTTTTAAAAAATGTTTTAATAAGCATTTAGTTAGTTTTATAGTGTTTTATTTTGTTTAGAAAAGCTTTATGTAGGAAAACTCTCCTTACAGAGATTTAAATGTTTTTCTGTATGAGTAGAGACATTTGGTACCTTTGTAAATGTCACTGAAATTGAAAACAGACCTGGAACAAGTTTTGAACATGGATATGAGCATATTGTACAAACCATAAACTCCCTTGTCGAGCAGCATTAGGAACTCAGTAACAGCGCTGTGCATTTCCTGCCAATTGAGGTCGAGCAGGGAAACCACCTTGAAGTCCATTTGTCTGAGAAGGTTGGTCAACTCGTGGACATCAGCAATGGGAGCACAAAGCTGAGTGTGGTAGGCGTAGCTCATGTTGCCAATCAAAAGAGCAACTTTGTCTGTTGCTGGGGAGGGGAAGACAGGGCATCATAAAAGATGCACTAACCTAATAAATTACGTAAGGTACCCATTTACAATGTACATGTTGGTCTACAGATACTGTATCATATTTACAATGTTTGAGCACAACTCACCGAAGAAAAACCTGGCTGGCGGTGACTGACTGACCTTCTCTTCTTGCAAACCTAATCCTAATGTGTGGGTTGACCTGTGACCTGGGGCAACATGATTATGGAAAGAAAAGAAATGTAAAAATGTCACATGCTGTTTGATCCTACATCAGAATGTTTAATGTCTCATTTTCATTTTCATTTCTAAAGGCAACCTCACATACACATTGCCTTCTTTTTACCAGACAGGAAAAACAAACCTGAACCGAGTCCACCCGACCAAACAGTAACAGTGTGAACACACACATAACCCAGTTACTACCCACAGATTAGCCGCTTTGACACATAAAAGATAAGCCAACATGATACTTTTTTGGTTTTCACTGACATATATACAAAAACAGGAAATCTAAGTGTGACAAAATGTTCCAGAAAAGGACAGAGGAACTAAAATACTTCTCTAGTTCCTTTATTCCCTCCTAAATATTCAGTTAGAAAATAAACAATACCTAGGCCATGATCAACTTCAGTGGCAGAACTGGGGCCTGCATAACAGTGAAAAACAGGAAGTTATTCACATTACAGAACAGCATTTTTGCTCAAGAGTGACACAAATGTGCAGTGTCAGACTGCACATTTGTGTCACAACAAATTCCTCAAAATATTTAAGCATTCAAATCTTTTGCATTTTTCTCATTTATACATTTATATTCTTAATGTATTTATTTGTGTAACAATGTAACATGAAATCACATGACATTACAGATGACATAGGTAAAAACCAGAGGGACAGACTGACAAATGGTCTGAAAGCCAAGCAGATTTAATCACATTCCTTGAGGTACAATAAAAGCAATGAAACAGAAACAAGAGAAGCATGAGAGGAGTGGTACCTGGACTAGAACTTGGAGAGTGGACTACATGAACGCGAGCCCACTGGGAGAAGATGTAGTTTTCTCCATGGCTGACCCTACAGATGTAGTGGCCCTGGTGCACCGAAGACAAAGGACACAGAAGCAGTTCTGGTGTACTCCCTGTCTCATCCAAAATCTAAAACCAGAAAACAATCAGTATACCCTATAGTCAACACAACAATATAGAATTGAAATCTCATTGTTATTTTTTATAATAATTAGATATTGAACTGACCTCTTCTTTGCCTCTGAACCACTGGTAGCTGAGTGCAGGGGGGCCAGTGGCTCTGCAGGTCAATATGACCCTCTCCCCCACTGCCACCTGCTGAGACTGTGGCTGCGTTGTGATCCAAATCATCTCTGCGACTACCAAACACATGCACACACCATATAAACAATCATATGCACAAACAAGAAGAGAAACTCACTCAGAGCACATATAGACATGTAGCATCAGAGCAGCCAGTCAGTTTTAAGATATGCATGGAGCCCAGCTCAACTTTACCTGTGGTGGTGAGGTACTGCACTGCTTCCCGGTGGTCAATCTTCTTTAGGCAGTGGAGCAGAAAGTCCAGGGAGCAGGAGCGATCAGCTAACCGAGCAAGGAGGGTGCGTCCTGGGCTGCCTACTGCCCTCAGCACCTGGACTGAGCAGCTGGTTAGCTCCCTTTCACTGCAGAGGGAGTTCAGTGGGTGTTAGTAGAGGTGATGATAGGGGTCTGAAAACTTGCAGGAATGTACAATAGCGGGGTGAAAAGACGATCTTTGTGAAATAGGATAAAATGTAAATACTGAAATTGCTTATTATGGTTATGAATAAGGTGTGAAAATTGGCAGAATAATGTACAGAGCCAGGGACTAAACGGTAGAAAATGAATGAATGAATGTACAGAGCTGCTAACTCCTTTCTATGATGACTTCAGGGCCTCACCTGCAGCGGAATTTCGGGTGCTCAGACATCGCATCAGCCAGCTGCCTCCATCCGCAGGTGGAGTTGTCCAACATCTTGGACAGGCTGGCCAGGACGTGGTCACTCAGAGTGCCAATGCTCCGTGTCCATTCCTCCATCTTCGTATTGGTCTATGCGTTGACACTTACAAATCCAGCGACCTAGCCTTCTGAACAAACAGGGACGCGGACGTCAGCACCACCTTTAACCATCAGCCCTATCACGTAGCAGTGAGTTCATAAGTATTTTTTCGGGTGGTGACTGATACGACGGGGGTTTGCTTGTTGGCTAGATCTCCCACTTGTTCGCCCACGCACCTGACACACAACAAAACTGACAGGTTGTAAACACCGCATCGGGTTTTCCCACGGTCAACTTTGTGGAAAATCCGTGTGTAACTGTACACACACGGCAGTTAATCATAAATCCTATGGAGGAAATACTGCAGGGAACATCTTGAAAACGAAACCTATAAGTTGTATTCAGACCAAACTAAACATCTTTACGTGGACCGTGAACTGCGCTGCCACTCGCCGCTTTCCCCATGAACATAACACAACAAAGTCGTAAAGGAAACTTCGGACTTACCGAGCTCACCGTTCGAGTTCAAATCCAGTTGAAGACAAAAGGGAACAAGTGCCTCTTGTACTAAATGTCAGATGCATTTTACACCCCGATCGTTCTTCCAGTCTTACGTGATTTTGTTCCCCAGACGATTTGCTTCTCATTTCGGTTCCTCATTTGACATCCCCGGTTGGCTATCATTTGCATGAAGTGCTGTCATAGCAACATTATTCATTAAAGCCAACTTTTACCCAAAATGACCGACGGAAGAAGTGGATTTACAACCTGGCGACCCAAATGATCTTCCATGACTTAGAAGTAATCTAAACAGTATTAGTAAATGCTTTATTAACCATTAATGAAGCTTATAGGATAAACCACCTACAAAGCGGTACCAGATTTATATTCACAATAGACTATGGGTTACACATATGGGTTATTCTGCAAGAATAAAAACAAAATTTGTTGAATATTCATTCACATTTATTAAAAATAACTGACAAAAAACAGTGACATGTGAATTTGAAAAGTGAAAAGTAAATCTGACCTACAACAATGGCTACTAATTGGACCTTGCAGTGAGAATATTTTGTCAACTCCTGTTTCTGAATCTAGGTTTTTCGGCAAGTGGCCAGGAGCTGGTCTAACGGCTTTTCATTCAGGAACTTCACATGGGCTCTGAACAACAACAACTATATCATGTCATGGTAATCCAGTCCAGTCCAGACAGGAAAGTGACAGCTGTCAGACCGGTGAAGACCTAAAGCGACTTCCCTTTATGCAGTCTGTTGGCACGCCAAATGTTTTCCTTCCTCAGACGCTTCCAATACTCCCAAGTGTCCGGCTCCAGCTCATGCAGCTTTTTTGCTTCTCCCAGGTTAAACTGGAACAACCTGAGAAAATGAAAAATATGAGCTCATACATATCAAGAGGATTGTCCTCATATAACAAAATTTAAAAATGAAGAAAAAAAAAAGAAGAGGGAAATCAGCTCAGTGAATACATAAAACTCACATATTATCTAGAAAATCTAAATTACAAGCAGTGGACTAAATATTATAACAGAATAAATACATAAATAACACACTCAAAGTTTGGCCTCAAAATGAGAGCCCCAGGCTACTTTTGAGTTGAGTCATTATGTCTCTGAAACAGTCTCAACTAAAATAAAAACCAAGATTTGATCTGTTCTTTCACTGTGATATACACACAGGTGACATATGAAAGGAAACCCCTGAATAAATTAGTGGTCTCTTCCAGGATGACAGTGTCCCCAGCCAAAGGACACAAGGGGTCACTGAATGGTTTGATGAGTAAGAAAATGATGTGAATCATATGCGGTGGCCTTCACAGTCACCAGATGTCAACCCAGGTGAACACCTATGGGAGATTTTGCAATGATGTTTTAGACCAAAACACCAAATGACAAATATCTTTTTTGAAGAATGGTGTTCATCCCTTCAATAGAGTTCAGAGACTTGTAGAGTCAATGCCAAGGAGCAGTGAAGCTTTTCTGGTCACACATGGTGGCCCAGCACCTCACTAAGACACTTTATGTTGGCTTTTCCTTTAATTCATCAACCATCTGTATATCACCAATCTAGAGCACTATTCCCTTTTCATCTAACTGCGTTTCTGTTTGTAATTTCCTGCATAAGTGACATCAATGAATGCCTATCATGTACTGAAACACCATGCTTGAACTACATACAGTATGTTTAGACAGCGAGAGTAATAGCAATAATTAGAAGTTTCTAGAAATGCTTTGCCACAGAAAGATATATTTGTAATTATTTCATTTTTTATTTACCACCAGTTTTCTCAACAGATATATTTTAAAAGGACTAAATGAAATTATCGAAAATATCAGATGACGTAGCTCTAAATTATGATGACAAAAATCTTAGAAATAAAAGTAATATGTGCTCTCACCACTCTGGGTATTCCTCCAGAGGCTTCAATTTAGGATCTTCTCCTTGCTTGAAGATGTTAACTCCTACTGCATAAGTTGTAAGTCTGATGGGGTCCTTACACACTTCTGGACCTTTCAGCTCCTCTTTCATTATGCCTTTGCCTTTTCCTTTGGCCGCTGAAAACCAGGGACAGAACTTTGTGATACTGGTATCAACAGGAAGGTGTGTTAGTTGCATGGTGTTAAAAGATGTTAGTGCTTCACTGGATGATTAAAACAAACAAAAAGTAAACAAAACTTTAGATATAATGCATTATGATTTAAGTGCATATGCAGAATAGAGCTACAAAGACTAGCTAATTGTTTTATTGATGACCAACAGATCTTTACAAAAATAAGTCTTAATAATCAATTCATCATTTTCAGTGTTTTTTTAACAGTTCTGATAAATATCGTTAGGATGATCTTCAGCTTTGGGAAATTTTACAGACAGTTTATAAGCTAAACAATTAACTGTTAAATAGAGAAAATAAGACAATTTAATTAATAATGAAAATAACAGTTGCAATCATAATACAGACATAAATTGTGGTGAAAAAATGAAAAGAGATCTATTCAATTACAACAAGACAAAAATGTATTTGATCACAACAGCCACCATTCCTTTTCCATTTTTAATTGCACACAGTGGGGTGAACAGACTAGATGGATCAGCTAAGCTTGATACGTGACATAGGTGTGTATGTTGCTTCAACAAAGCCAATTTGAAAGTGGCACTCAAGAACACAGAGGTACACAATATACTGTACGACATATACAGTAGTGTAGATATTGTCTTTACTCACCAACTTTTTTCGCATATCCAAATGTCTGTGTTCTGTTTAACACGTTCGTCCTGCAGAGAACTGCTGTAGTGTTGGTTGTGGTGCATTTTGTTAAGGTCAGTATCCTAAATAAATTACACCCTGACATTTTACTACAGATTACTAAAAACCTCAAGCCACCATGCTACAGTCTGACATTCGCAACTCCTTAACCTTCCGCTTTCTAACTTATCTTTGGCTCTGTAAAATAATCTTTACTGCTCCTCTGTGGACAGGAAGACACACTGCAAGACGATAAAATGCTAAATTTATTTTCTATCCGCCAGGTGGCAACACTGATATACATGTGCCTGGTACTATAATAAGATAACAGAAGAAGAAGAAGAAAAGAATTGCGTCTATCAAAAGAGGAAGAAGGGAGATCCAAAATGTCAGAGTACAGTATGGTCCAGAAAAGTGCCCTGAAATTAAAAGGCGTAGGGAGTATTTCAGCTGGAAAAAAGTGAGCCTTTTACTGTTTGGTATTGATGTTTATTGAAATACGTTGTGTTCAAATGGGCAAAATTACCTTACATTAGCCAAGCGCATTGCTACAGTTTCCTAGTATTCACATGAAGCTAACTTTAGCCTGCTTGCTAATAGAAAAACTGTTAAGTAACATTAATGGTACGTGTACTTGAATTTACTTATGTGATTTGGTTTGATGAGTGTTAAAATGAAGTGAATAATGCGCTGTGGCCTTCGCAGTCACCAGATCTCAATCAATTTGAGCATCTATGGGAGATTTTGGACCGACATGTTAGACAACGTCTCCACCACCATGATCAAAACACCAAATGAGGAATATCTTAGAAGAATGGTGTTCATATCTCCAGTAGAGCTCAGAGACCTGAGTCAACGCCAAGGCGCATTGAAGTTGTTCTTGTGGCCCAGCACCTTACTAAAACATTTGATGTTGTTTTTTTCCTTTAATTTGTCATTTTCCTGTACATAGCATAGCTAACACATACGAAGTTCGAAATGCATAGTACAAACATTGTCAGTCACCTTACACAGCAAGTAAAATGTATAATGTATACCTCAACAACTTGCATTTATGCTGTCATTAGTACATAAGACACAGGCAAGGTATTCAGTGGACCAAGAATAGATCACATAAGTTTTGGACTCCACAAACTCAGTGTGTAGATGTTTAAACTTTGAAAATTTCACTTTCTTCTGCTGTATCTTTCTCTATCTCACGCACTCTTCCTCTGATGGGAAAAGTGCAGCATAGCAATCTACTGATCAACTAAATGACTTTTTTTTAGGAAAAAGAAGAAGGATAAAGAAAGTAAGCAGCTCTTGGAGCAAGTCATCACCAGTCAGAACGATGAGGAGGTGAAAACTAAGAAACCGTCTGTTGACAAAAGGACACCAGCACAAACTGCCTTTGATAAGACACAGGAGAAGAGGGTATGCTATTTTCCTTTACAATTAAAAAGGTTCAGTGAGGAATCTGAGGTCAAAGCATTGTTAATAGAGGTAGTAACAGACTATATAAATCTAATTTAGGGAGCTACTGCCTGAAGCTCTCCCTGCTGCAAAATTTTCCAACTCAACAACCACAAATATTTACCACTATCAGCCACAAAGCCATTGTAGCTTATGCTTTGATACAGTTCAGCAATATGTACATCATTTGCATTGATCAGAAGACCACAGAGCACTGTATTTGCACAAAAAGTCAAACAAAAATCCAAAAGGTCAGTGTTTTTTGAATAGAAAAAATGTCCATACATATTTTAAATTAAGATTGCACACATGAACAGGAAGTTCATGATTATCCTTATGTGTGTAGTAGATTATTCACTTATGTACTGCTTTGAGCTTTCCTCTTTCGCTAGATTGTTGATTATATTGGAAATACAGCTGTGTTCAGTTTAAATGAGCAGAGTAATCCCAGTGATTTGAAAATGGATTTGTCAGCTCAGCAGCATAGTTAATGTTTTACAGTCTGAGTTTATTAGTCTTTACATCACATGATGACAACATTTAGCAGCCCTTTTGTACTTAAAGGACAAGGTTCATTATTTGAAATGGTGAATGTTGTATTATATAATTTGGTGCAGGGTCAGTTAATGAGCATATCTACCAACTAGAAACATGGGATGATGTTAAAAAGTAACACATAATTACACACTCATCATGTCTTTAGAATATTTCCAGTTACAGGAGGCAGCTACATGAGTTTGGTAACCTGTGATTTATTGCTATTGTGATACTGACCTTGGTTATTGTCTGACAAAAGTTTAAATTTGGGGTGTTTTTAATATAGTTATTTAGTAGTATACAATTAATGTCCTGTTTCTGGGGGTGTGCCTAAACTGACAGTGATATTGTACATGATTAAGGTTTCTTTTGCATTAATTCTTCCTTCTTTTCCTAAAGCAAATGGAGAGGATTTTGAAAAAAGCCTCAAAGACACACAAACACAGAGTAGAGGTAAGTCCTGTCAGACCTGGCATAGCACTACTCAGTCCAACACCACACAGGCATTCAAATGAATTGGTTTTGGTCTTTAATGTACAGCTAAATCTTGTGATCTACTGTATTTGTCTGTCTTCAGGATTTCAATCGCCACCTGGACACCCTGACGGAGCATTATGATATTCCCAAGGTCAGCTGGACCAAATAGAAGAGGAAAAAACATTCATTTTGTTATTTTATTTACTACTTGTACAAAGATCTCACACGGCACATTTTTGAAGCATATGTTATTTGCTAGTTTATGTTTAGTTATGTATACAGTTGAATGTCTAAAATTTGCATTCAGCCATTCCTGGTATGCACAATAAAGGATTTTAGTAAACGTATATATTGCGTGTGTTTGCCTTACAATGCACATATCCTTGGGCACATTAGCTTATATTTTAAATGTGTGCGATGTGTGCAGGGGGTCAGAAAGCCAGGTTATGCTTGCTTTTTAAGTGGCATATTTTACACTGTACTACAGCTTTGCGCAAATGGCACACATGGTATAAAACAGATCACACAAGGTACAGTTGACCATGTGGAATTACTTGGGATGGCACAGTGTGAACATGTGAACTACCAACCTACAGCTGAAGAGACCAAAAAAGTATTTCTTATAGTAAGACTTTACCAAAACCAACAAGTTGGTATAGAAACAAACAAATTTGAATCCCTAAGAAAAAGTTGTATTGACAGTGAAACTTAAAACTTGTAATGCTGAGTAACAGCTGTAACTCAGTGTAATTTTAACACTACCAGAATACAGAACATTAAGAAGCTGCTTCGAACAACAGTAAAGGATTCTCACACTTTTTATTAGGAGATGAGTGACGTCAAGGACTCAGAGCAAGTTTTACTTACACAGTTCCTATTTGACTGAATTTAAATACTCTTTCATCACAGTAGAAAGGGTAGTTTCTTTGTTCTGTACTGTTCTTGTGTTGTCAGAGTTCACTTTGGCCCCAGCATGTCGCTTGGCTTCACCCACTGGTCAAACTGCTCCTCGGTCAGGTAGCCCAGCTCCATAGCCACGGCTTTTAGCGTAGAGCCTCTCTTGTGAGCCGTCTTGGCGATGGTGGCCGCTTTGTCATAACCTATGTGTGGGTTGAGTGCAGTGACCAACATGAGAGACTCACTCATAAGCTTGTTGATCCTCTCTGTGTTTGCCTGAATGCCCACCACACAGTTGCTGGTGAAGGAGACGGATGCATCTCCCAGTAGCTGTGCAGAGTTCAGCACATTCTTGATAATCATAGGTTTGAAGACGTTGAGTTCAAAATGTCCATTGCTGCCCCCGACGGTGACGGCTACGTGGTTCCCCATTACCTGAGCCGCGACCATGGTCATGGCCTCACACTGGGTGGGGTTCACCTTGCCTGGCATGATGCTGCTTCCTGGCTCGTTCTCTGGTAAAATGAGCTCCCCCAGGCCAGAGCGGGGTCCTGACCCCAGAAAGCGAATGTCATTGGCAATCTTCATCATGCTGACAGCCACTGTGTTCAGTGCTCCACTCAGCTCTACCAGGGCATCGTGGGCTGCTAGGGCCTCGAACTTGTTGGGAGCTGTCACAAACGGCAGGTGTGTGAGAGAAGCAACTGTGGAAGCTACTTTCTCAGCAAAGCCAATGCGGGTGTTGAGTCCTGTTCCTACTGCTGTGCCTCCTGCTGCCAGCTCATACACCCTGGGCATGGCGGCCTTCACTCTCTCTATGCTGTACTTCACCTGCTGGACATAACCGCTGAACTCCTGCCCGAGCGAAAGCGGTACAGCATCCTGAGTGTGTGTGCGCCCGATCTTGATGATATCTTTGAACTCTTCAGCTTTAGCAGCCAGGGCATCATGCAGAGTCTGCAGGCCGGGCAGCAGGACCTGGTGGACCTCTGTCGCTGCAGCAATGTGCATTGCAGTGGGGAAGGTGTCATTGGAGCTTTGACTCTTGTTGACATGGTCATTAGGGTGTACAGGCTCTTTGGAACCTAGTTTCCCTCCCAGGATCTCAATAGCTCTGTTGCTGATCACCTCATTGACATTCATGTTGGTCTGAGTACCAGACCCAGTCTGCCACACCACCAGAGGGAAATGATCATCTAGTTTACCAGCTGACACCTCATCCGCAGCCTGGATGATTGCATCTGCTATCTTTGGGTTGAGGCCATACTCCTTGTTCACCTCAGCAGCTGCTTTCTTCAGGACACCAAAAGCTTTGATCACTTGGATTGGCATTCTCTCACTTGGTCCCCCTATCTTGAAGTTCATGGTGGATCTGACAGTCTGGGCACCGTAATACTTGTCAGCTGGGACTTTGAGTTCCCCAAACGTATCCCGCTCAATCCTGTAGTCTGAACTGGCCATTCTGGACGTGCTGATGAATAGTTTAGAGTTGACGCTAAGTTTCTGCAAAGTCTGGAGGTTGCAGTTAAACTGCTGCACGGTTCTCAGAGAGCGAAACATGGCTTCTCATTAGAGGTGAGTCCAGGGGGGAGGTCAACGCAGCCTTCCACATTGTAATCTGTCATTGGATGAGAAGGAAACTGGCCGCAGGTCAGCCAATAGTGACGCAAGGAAGGCGGGACTTCTGCTGTGGTTGTCGTATCGAGTGGAAACGAACGGGCTGCCTCATCCGGATCAGTGAAGCCTGACAGCATTGCATGATTTTATTTCCGTTACGATAACGATAATTTCAATAATAAAAGTCTAAATTGACTTAATTTTGTCATTTTGGTTAAGTTTGTATAGATATTGCATTTCTGAATCTCATAGATTGTACTGTTTACAGATTGTATATTATATTGGGCTATTTTGTGACAATATACATTTGTTTTATGTATAAGCTAATGTGTGTTTTAGATGACTGTGAACATGTATTTAAAATGCTGCGTGGAACTAAGATTCATTTAGCCTACAATAAGGTGTAATTGTTTTATGATTAAAGAGAGTAATGACATTTTTTTGTAAATCTTCTAGCTTTGAATCAATTCTTGTAAAAGACGAGATTAGACATTAGTTTCAAGCGTTAGATGGACATAAATATAATCAAGAATATTTTCATCCACAATGCCTTAAAATTAGTTTTTATGCTTACAATGTTATATTACCATGTTTATTTGATTTTGTAAGTCCTTCATGGTTATCCAACAAATAAAGTTGTTGTTTGGGAGGTGATCAACAGTTATCAACATTTACAGTCACTCAAAATACTTTGTTTTACCCTTCTAGTGTACATGGACCTACCTGGCCACCATTTGCCCATTTTGTGGTATATGGAGTGTAGCTAAGTTTACATTAGTAATGTCCAGATAGATTATATTTATATGGTAATTAGTTCCAATTGTCTATTCCTTATGATGAAATGAAAGAAATGTTGTGAAATTTAATCAACACAGAACCGATAGACATATAGCCTAGTGCAGCCAAGTCTTTTATTTTGAAGCCTGAGCGCGACCCTTTACCGGACGTTTTTTGCGTCTTGTTGCCACCTTCCCTCTGCTGTCTTTTCTCGCGGTAACGTTAGTATACTGTTAGCTTGCTAGCTAACCCTATCGTTTCCAGGTTTCGTGTCGACCTGAAAACAGCAAACGAAGAGAGACACAGAAAGACTACGCAGCTAAATATTCTTTAAATCTTGACTGCATAAAGGAGTGGGAAAATGCCACACAACTTCCAGCCCGGTGACCTGGTCTTCGCTAAAATGAAGGGATACCCCCACTGGCCAGCTAGGGTAAGCAAGTAACGTTAACAGCAGCCGGAGGGGGCTTAGGAGGGGGTGGGCTGTTCTGCATGGGACGCTGGAGAAGGTTCTCTATCTATCTTCTGTGCTGTTTAACATAGACATCAGTCACACCGATACATAACTTCATTTTTATTGGGCTGTCAGGCTCCCTTATAGCCATACAGTAAGTGTACGTGCAGCATTGTCGTTTTTTAATGAGTTGCTGTTGGCCTACCTACATAGAGAGGTACAGGAGCGAAGCTGGGGTTATTTTGGAAATTATATTTGAAATAATTTATAGGGAAAAAGCCCCAATCTTGATGTTAAAACCAGGTATTATGCACCCCATATCCATAATTTTAAGTTAAAACGAACCTCTATTTTGTTTTCCAGAGATACCAGCCAATCTTTACATGGTACCATCATGTTTGGATCCAAGGTCCACAGAAACATTGTGATAGTTTCTGTCTGTCACATGTGTTTTGACTTGAAAGGCTTGCTTGTTTGCAGATTGAAGATGTGGCTGATGGGGCAGTGAAACCACCTCCTAATAAAATCCCAATTTTCTTTTTTGGGACACACGAAACGTGAGTACAGTACTCTATCGTCAGTAGATTGGAGATAAAAACAAAAAAGTATGTGCAGATGGCTGCAGTTGTATTGTGACCTTTTTCAGTTTGAAAGGGGGCGATTTAGTTGACAAAGTTGTGTGAAATTTATTGACTCCAGTACAGTCAATGACAAAAGCTTTTTGACATGCATTGATGAGGTGGCTTTGCCAATTTTACATTTAGGCCCCAACTCATCTTTTTCTTAGCCTGATATCTTTATAAGAGCAATTCAATGGTGTGAGAATGCACAAATCATTACTTTTGTCTTGCAACACTGCTTTTAATCTCCTTACTTCAACTTTATTATTTTCTGAATGTTCACTGTTAACCATTGATTGATGTGAGTTTGGGTATACAGCATGTTTCTTAGATATGTGTTGGCATGTTTGATCCTGCATCCAGACACCATCTGTTTGACAAGATGGCACCTGCAGTATATTAATCAATCACTAGGTGTCACAGTTTGCTGTTCTAAAGTCATGTTAAACTTCATTCATTTCAATGTAAACAACTTAGGACATTAGTTTGTTGTTAGTGAAGTAGTTTTTTTTAAAGTAGTTAGGGTTTTCACGTTGTCTTTATATCTCTTCCTCACAGAGCATTCCTCGCACCAAAGGACCTTTTTGCCTATGAAAAGTATAGAGATCGCTATGGAAAGCCCAACAAAAGGAAGGGATTCAATGAAGGTTTATGGGAGATCCAGAACAATCCACATGCCTCCTACAGTGCCCCGCCTGTAGTAAGTCACTGATATGATACATTCTAAATTTTAAAGAATCCATAAATAATCATTACATTGTAATCACAAAGATAGTCTTGATGTAGTCTTAAAAGTAAAAGTTATCAGACAATGTTATTATTTTTTTTTTCTCAGCATTCAAGGTCATTTGTTGTACATCATTCTCATTTCTATGATTTTTTTTGTACATAGGTTTCAAACTCGCAGGCAAGTTTCTGTTAGATGGTAGTATCTGAAGCACTTTGAATTGTCTGGTTGATGAGAGGTGCTATGCAAATTAACTTTCATTTTCTTTTGATTAAAATGCTGTAGTGCAGACTAGGGACTCCTGTTGTCCAGGAGGTCTGATGCTTACTGTAACATTTACTGTTCAATTCTGACCAGGAAACTGTGCACCTGTCCCCTTGTTTTATTTCAGTGTCTAATGCAGACTAACAAAATGATACAGATTGTAAAATATTCTTTTAAAATGCTGAAGTTCCAAAAGAGAATGTGAAGTTATCATCACACCGCATTGAATTTTGGTAAAATGCGCCATTTGGAAGGCATGCGCTCATTATCCATCACAGAGATATACATTACATATGTCTATGTTAATTTTAAAAATATAAATACTATCCCATACAGCTACTTACAGTAGTGGATACTTCAGCTTCATCAAAACGTCCATTTGAGTTTTCGGTTTGAGCTCAGACAGGACCGCAGTCATTCATATATAGTGTCTGTGTCCTCTGCTGACAGCTGCTAGCTAGTGTTAGCTCCTGAGCTGAGATCAGGGTGCAGAGTCATTTTTCAGTCTGTTGCTCTTATCGACGTGATCTATAGGTCTGCTACGAGTTAGCTACAGTCAGCTAAGGTTATCCATTCTGAATGACCACAGTCAATAAAGTGAGATCTAAATGATTTAAGTAACTTTTTAGCCTAACACAACAAAACTATATGCAAGTAAATACAGCGCCTTCTCCCAGAGCTGCAACCCGATCCCAACATCCAACACGGTGTGACATACTGTACCTTCATATTCTCTTTTGAGATACTGGTTTTGGAGGAATTTTTGACACACTTTATAGACTTGAGTGTATTCATTGAGAAATTTGTTAATCATGGTTCATCTGCAGCCGGCGAGCTCATCTGACAGCGAGGGCAACAATGCCAGAGGAGGAAGTGATGAGGAAGATGATGATGAAGAGGCCACGGTTCCTCGGAAAGCCGACTCAGTAAGTGAGGCTGATTCTGATTCTGGAAGTGAAGACCGAGGAAGGGGAGGAGGAGTGAAGCGGAAGCCACCTGCTCCCAAGGTACTTGTACAGACATACAGTTTCATTAATGATGATAGGAATACGGTATTCTTGGTCACACGAGGATGCACTTGGCATAATAGACAACCAAGTCCTATCAGCTACACCAAAGGTACTGTAACAATTGGTAATGCTTGGATACTTACTGAGAATTTGTCTGTTTATATGGGAATGAAAACAAGAGGTAGCTAAAAAGACCTGAAATAACTGGTGGCTTCCTCTTTATTATCACAAGTTCTTATAGAAATGACAAAGCCATCATGAGCTGTGATTAATAGAGAACATCTGCATGACTTGAGTGCAGGTCAAATTGGTTGGCTGGAATAACTGATTGCAATGAAAGATAACTGCAATAAAATAGTTGATTTAGTTTAGCTGTATTTTCATATTTGCATGCTTATGTTCTATTTTAGCGGCCTCCTCCTCCAAAAAAGGCTCGAGGCTCGTCCAGTGATCGAAATGAAGAGGAGAGTGGATCCCCCTCTGAATCAGAACCCACATCTTCAGAGTCTGACTCTGGAAAGAACAGTGACCAGGTAAACACACATACATGGTACAATGTTTTTGGTGTCCCGAAACTAAACAGTCTTTAATTGTTACATATTTGTTCTTCCAAAAGGATTTTACTCCAGAGAAGAAAACTGGTGGACGAGGTGGAAAGAAAGCAGGAGGCAGAGGGAAGAAAAAGGTGAACCATTTGTCCCCTTACATAGTAAAAATATTTTGAAAACCTTTTGTGACTGTATTGGATTTCTGATTTCTTGTTCCTCTGTCCCCTTTTCTCTGTGATATTACAGAAAGCTTCCTCTGGCTCGGATTCAGACACAGGGTCAGGGTCAGAGAAGAAAGTAGTAGACAGTGACTCAGAGGATGAGAAGCCTCGACCAGCTCTGTCTGGCTCAGAGTCCCAGTCTGGCTCAAAGTCTGAGTCAGACTCAGATCCACCTCCTCGTAAAGGCCCACAAGCTCGCAAGAAAGGTGCAGCTCGAGTCCTATCTATCTGTCAATTATGATTTCATGCAAATCATAGTGATTTTAAGTTGTCTGATGTTAAAGAAAGGGATTTGTTCTCTTCATTTTGCTTATGCAGTGCCCAGGTACTCAATGCTTTTTTCCCTTCCATCCACAGAGAAGCCTGCACCAAAGCCTCGTGCACGGAAACCCAAACCTGCTCCTGCAAAACGAGCACCTTCATCATCTTCCGACAGTGACAGGTTAGGCTGCTTTATGGCTTTTTTTGTATGCACCACAGGTTGATGCAGTAATATGAATTCTAACATGCATATTAGCTTGGAGGAAAAGGCACTATAAAAGTAGTCCTGTTTGTTCACAGTGACAGCGAACCCGACCGCATCAGCGAATGGAAAAAACGAGATGAAGAACGCAGACGAGAGCTAGAGGAGCGCCGGAAAAAGGAGGAAGCAGAGGAGCTGCGCCGGCTACGAGAGAAAGAGAAGGAAGAAGAGGAGAAAAAGAAAAGAGAAAAGGAGAAGAGTAAAAAAGGGAGCGACAGTGACAGCACCAGTAGCTCAGATGAAGGTGTAGATGATCACCCATTGAAGAAGTCCAAGAAACCCCCTCCACCCCCAATCCCTGCACCCTCAGACTCTGATTCTCCAGCTGAGGTACAGTTGCTTACTGAAAGACATGTTAATCATCTAAAGTATTTGTTACATCTTGCTTTATTCCTGGTAATAGGATTGCAAATGAGTCAACATCTTATGCTTTTCTCATCAAAAGGTGAAAAAACCACCCAAGAAGTCCGACAGTCAGAAGAAGTCAAGAATAAAGAAAGAGAAGGAAAGGAAAGAAAGAAAGGAAAGGGAGCTAAAAGAGAAGAGAGCCAAACGGTCAGAGGAAAAGTCCAGAGTGAGGTTAGGGCACAATGGGAAAGAAACTGCAATATGCAAACTTCATTAAATTGACTTTATTGACGCTTAATATACACTGATCAAACATTTCCCTCCTTCTCTTAGGGCTAACCCTGAGAGACCCAAACGCAAACCTGAGAGGCCACCAGAGAAGAAAGTGGAAAAGAAAAAGGGTCAGTGTTTTATCTCATACAGTCACAATTTGTTTCAAAATTACTGTTGTTTACTACAGATGATCAGCAGCCATTGCTTCACAGAAGTTATGTTTATTGTTTCAATGAGAGGACAGCAGTAATTCAGTGCAGCATAGTTACTGTTGCATTGTGTCCCCATATGCAGAACCATCACCAGAAGAAAGGCTACAAAAACTCCATACAGACATAAAGTTTGCACTCAAAGTGGATAACCCAGTAAGTCGTGTTTATGGCTGTGGTTAAATACAGTTTTCTGTGTTTTTATGCTAACATGAAAATGGAATTTTTGTGTGCTTTCTAGGACATAGACCGGTGTCTACAAGCCCTAGACGAGCTTGAGGCTGTACCTGTCACCAGCCAGATCCTCCATAAGAATGCTGAAGTTATTGCCACATTAAAGAAGGTACTTTTTTTTTTGCTTTGTTGTTGGCTGTCATTGCTTTGTATATTTTCAGACTTGTACTGCATAACAATAGGATTGCCAACATACACCTTAAAAGATAAGAAAAGATAAACCTAAGATGGTATTGTAATTGTTGCTGACCTTTTCTTGTAACCTGTCTTGCATTAGCCCAAATATAAGACAGTGCTATTTTCTGGGAATTACACTTGAGAAAGTTAGCTCTCTTCATTCTTTTTGCCACATTTATTTTGTTTTTTTATAACTAATTTAATCATTTGAATACCTAAAAAATTGCTTTTATAATTTTGATTTTTATTCATTTATTTTTGCTCAAATATGCATTCACAAGATGTTAAATATGGTACTATAGGCAAAGAGTAGCACTCTCACTTAACACATTTTTTCCATTCTCTACTTCTGTGTGTTTTTGTGCATATGTGTATGTTATTTTTTTTTTCCTTGACAATTTAGATTCGGCGATATAAAGCCAGCACTGCAGTCATGGAAAAAGCTACTGATGTCTACAACAAGTTAAAACTTCGCTTTGTGGGCAAGACAGAGGTGGCAGCTAAACCTAAAACAGAGAACAAGGAACCAGAAGATACTGAGAAGGAGACACAAAATACAGGTAAAAACCTCCATTTTGGATCTTGATTTTTTTTGTTCTACATTACTTTTTACTGTTGTTTTTTTTTTTATCAGACATGGATGCAAAATTTGGTTTGCCCTGCCTGCTTGTGTTAATCTAAATGTGCATTTTCTAGACTCTGCTCCAGTGAATGGAGAATCAGAACAGAAAAAAGATGATGTGGCAGTAGAGGAAAAACCTAAATCACCTGTAGGGGAGGACAATAATGACGATACTACAGCAAGTCCAAACAGGTGAGTATCCAGTGTGAAGCGCTATACAGTATCTTTGCTCTCTAACAGTCCAGCAGGATTTGAAAGCAAATATTTCACAGACAGCAAAAAGACAGGAATCTCTATTTAGATTAAAGCAGAATTATTGTACGTCGTCACTTAGCACTTGTGGGACGTTTTGCTAACCTTGACAAAGCCTATGTCAACATTTTCTGCATTTTATTATGCACATAGTCATGATTTAGCGGCCATAATTGTGACTTGGCTGTTCTTTGTCTTTAGACGGAGCCCAGACAGCCCCGCTGAGCAACAGACGCACACCTATGAAGAAGCAGAAAACTCTCTCTCTGCAGAGACAGAACCACCTGCTGTGGAAAGCTGAAAGGCCCTTAATCACTGTTGCAGTGGACCAAGTGCTAAAAGATGGTGGCCTCTTTGTTTGATGTCATACAGTGCTCCCGGCCCAGCACAACTGCAGCGCACGCACACACAGCATTTCCTACAGTATCTGTTACATCAATTTTGATGTTTTGGACATTTTGCACCATAATGATATCAAACCAGAAGGCCCCATTGCTCAGTTTGGTTCATTATTTATCACAGCAAAAAGGAAAGCTTATTAGTGTGTTAGTTTGTGACGCTGTGCAAACTCCTTTTGTTTATGAAATGTGCTTTTCTTTTTAAACAACACTCAGCCCGCCCTGGATCCTCACGCCAAACCACTGCTCCTGGCAACTTTCTTCTTTCTACCATATGAACTCTGGTCTTTCTTACTGGATGTATATTGAATGATTACATTTTCATCACTTCTAACCAGAATTTAGGCTGGTGTAGTTTGGGATGAACACTGACATGATTCTTGTGGGGAAACTGGGTGGAAATGGAGCCGCTGTCACTTTTTAGGTTTGAAGAGTTTGTGCACCTCTTACATCTGTTGGCTTCATTTTTTATATATATATATATATATAAAACCTACAAAACCATCACAAAGGCCTCTTGTCTGTGTGTATGATGTTGTGAGAGTGGTGAAGTTCTAATTGTGAGTCTTTTATGTTAAATATTTTTTTTAAAAATTATCTGTTCTTGATCCCGTTATTCTATTCTGAAATGTAAAGCCATGAACTGGGTCATGTAAAGCTGTTTTCCAACTGAGGTCCACCAAATTTTTATAGCCTTGTTTTCAAATATTTGCATCTACAGGTTTGTCTACAATAATTCCTGTGGTGTTACACACCTTGCACTCTTGTTTCCCCATGGTGTCTGCTTTCAGTAACTTGCATAATAAATGGAATAACTGTACAGGTCAACAGCTTCCCTTAAAAGCTGTTGAGTTCTCATGTAGCTGCAACCTATTTTGACTTTTTCTTGTCATATGCATACAACAGGTGTTTTTAGTGCTATGTAAATTGGTAAAGCATTTCTATAATTTAGTTGAGAAGAATAAAAATCTCAGCATGGTTTTGTTTCTGTGTCATTTTTGGTGGGTAAAACCTGCTTTAAATTAATTCACTGTGCTTTGGGGGGGGGGTAATTATGTAATTAGAATGTTAGTACTCTGTAATAATTCTTTAGTATATTACTTGTTGTGGGTAGAAGTGAATCATTTACTGCTTGCAAACCAATGATGGTAAGATGATGTCAGGGGGTAGGACTGGATAAGTCTGACTTCTTCCTACTCCATTCAAGCATGTACTAGGTATAAGGTATATATAACATAGGTAGTGTGATATAGTAGTTTAATATTCTGAATAGAGGGACTAGGCCTTTAATTCCTCTGATTCCCACATGAGACTCTCGCAATCACTCAAGTCAGCTGACTGTAGACGCCATTTTGTCAGCCATTTCCTACACTGATCCATTGCCAGCGTCTCTGCACAGCACAGGACGCCCTGTCTGGCCTCAGCTTCATCTGCCCGGGCTTGGTAAACAGTAGTGGACCCTGCACACACGGTATCCGGGTGGATGAGCGACAGTCTAGCGGGTCGGTCGGCACCCACTAGACCTCTGCAAGGCACTTGGCTCCACAGGATAGAAGCGGTACAAGTTACAGACAGACATGGCTTTGAAGATTGTCAAAGGGAGCATCGATCGGATGTTCGATAAAAATCTTCAGGATTTAGTACGTGGCATTAGGAATCACAAGGAAGATGAGGTAAAACGACCGAAGAGCCCACACTGCCTGAGCTATTTTTAACTTAACATTCATTGATGTTTTAAGTCAACATAGGTTGCCATTACCGTTATCTGTAACCAGTTAGCTAACGTTAATAGCTGACGCTAGTTTAGGTAAATTAACATTAGGCATGCTGGTCAGCTAACGTTAGCGTTAGCTCAGTCATTTCACCCGCTAGCTGAGAGTCAACTCTAAACATTGGTCTTCAGCGGCCAGCGCAGCCGTGGGAATGCTAATGTAACATTTGCTAAATAACAGGTTAGGGGACGTTTGCTCATACTAACTTTTTTTTAAATCATGTTTTAAACAAGGAAGCTTGTTTGTATCGTTACAGTTGTTACTGACAGCTAGCTAATCTAGCAGACAGAGGAAGCTAGCTAGATTAACCATCACAATTTAGCTTCCCAAAGTATAGAGCTACTGCGAGCATTCAACTACTGCTAACTTTATCTATTGGTCTTTAGGGACCGATTCATGTGGTGAGAAGTATTCAGAGGTCTTCAATCTCCCATTGACTATTTGCAGTGGTGGAAGAAGTACTCGGATCATTTTACTTAGGTTGCAATACAACAGTAAAAATGCTTTGTTACAAGTATAAGTCCTGCGTTCAAAATGGTTTTCTAACATGTTTGCAGTGGTAATCCAACCCACTGTAGTTTTTATGCGTTTAATTTGAGTTACTGCTGGGTAACTTCTGAATTTTTCACCATAGGTCATTGAGGTCTTACTGTATTTTGTATTAATCTGGTTCTGAAAAATATTAACTAAAGTTATAAAATAAATGTTGTGGAGTTAGAAAGTATGCAATATTTTCCTCTAAAATGTAGTGAAGTCAAAGTATGAAGTAACAGAAAATGAAAATGCTCAAGTACAGATATCTAAAAATTATACTGAAGTACAGTACTTGAATAAATGTACTTAGTTACATTACACCATTGATTATTTATCACTTATTTTAGTTGAGGACACCTGCTTAGCTTGTAGCTAGGACTAGCAGATTTGACCATCCTGGCTGCTGATGTCAAAAATTGCATCTTATATTAACATTTAAATCATGCAAAATGAGTCAGCCAGCAGTTTGGTTTGAACACCCCAACAGTGGTTGATGGTGAGGACACCCCTGTCACAGCTCTGTGGGTGATGATAGGCTCATCACGGCACCAGGTCTGAGTAGGAGTAGGGTGGGATGTACAATAGATACTGTATATACACATACTGTATATCTATGAGCATGTGCCATTAGAGGGCACTGTTTGGGGGCATCCACATTTCCATCTCTCACATCATCCTTCTCCTCTTGCAGTGCTGTTTGGCTTTGTCTAACCTTGCTCCTGCTGTAAAATGCTATGTCAGCCAGTAAGACAGGGTATGAAGCTGGTTTATTGTTGAGCACACCTGCCTGTCTGGTATTGTGTCTAAGTTGAAGGCAGTTTTGGTTTTGATTCCTTTCTCAAACGGATCCTTGGTGTCATTGCATCAGGGAGCAAATGTACAAACAGGGTTTATACAAGTAGTCATAAGCGAGTACGTTTGCATTTTGCTTGGATATGATGCCATCTGTATTTGTGTCTTAATGCTGTTTGGATGAATAATAACAAGCACTTGTACCAGGCCATCAATGCTTGATCTCTTACTTCAGTATATGGTCTAAGCTGTTTGCAGTGGTAACCCAAACCTAAGCAGCCTAGATAAGGTGGTGGCTGCCCAGTCAACAGTGGACAGTTCCATGAAATATTAATACGCTGTGTGTGTGTGCCTGAGAGTGTGTTGACTTTTTGGCCAGCTCATACTCTCTATTTGTTTTTCACATCTGTGCACAGTTCATCCATTCACTCTCCCTTCCACAGCCTTGGAACAAGAGGCATGTTGTAATAAGGTGTGAAGATGTCCTAAGTGTATTTCAAGAAGATTACTAGTAAGAATTTTAGTGTTCGGTGTCTGCTGAAAGAAAAGGTGTTCTTTGCTTCCTTCCAGTATATCTCCAGCTCAACTTTAATTACTGGCAGCAAGGTTGACTGTGTTGGCTTTGTGCCAAAAGTTATTTCAATTCATTCTGAAATGGTTGTTAAAGGAGAGGTGAGTTGTGAGTAGCAGCACTGTGTGTGTCTGGTGACTGTGAGTTGAATCCCTCCCAGCCTGCCCATTAGCCTGCTAGCCACAGTTTCTTCAGGAACAGGAGCAGCAGAGCGCCCCCCCACCCCCAACATGTCTTATGACTGCACACACATGACCAGCACACAATCACATTCTGCACAGCTTACAGTGCCTATAAAAGGTATTTACCCCTAGGATGTTTTACCCTTTTATTGATTTTATAAAATCAATTATGGTCAATATAATTTGTCTTTTTTGGCTAAATAAATTACAGAAAAACCTCTTTAATGTCAAAGTGAAAGCAGGGTTCTACAAAGTAATGTCGATTAAAAAAATAAAAGCATTGAGCAGTTTTGCAAAGAAGAAAGGAGTAAAATTGCAGTGTCAGATGTGCAAGCCTGATTGAGACCTATCCACACAGACTCAGTGCTGTGATTGCAGCCAAAGGTGCATCTACTAAATACTGACTTGAAGGGGGTGAATATTTAGGCAATTACTTATTTCCCAATTACAACTTTTTATTTAATTGGGTGGCAACTGATGATTTACTGTGGTGACCCCTAACAGGAGCAGCCAGAAGTAGGAGAAGACGACACTTGGCATAACCTTGACTTAAACAGCAGTTTGACTTATGGCTTAAAGTCCTGATGCTGTTTCACAAGCCCAGAGTGGCTGAATTTAGCCTGAAGCATATTAAAAGATGAAGTTTGCATTATGACTAAATCTAGGATAAAGTTTAGGACTTGCCTGAACTTTGGCCCCTCCTGTGGACAGCAACAACAGGCAGCTGCAGGTAGCTGAGCGCTTGTTCCTGGTGTTTTGTAGCAGCCTCCGACTCTGGATATCACTCCACCTAATCTGATCTGGTGTCTGTTATTTGTCCTCTCCTTTGTCTGCCCTCAGGCCAAGTACATCTCCACATGCATTGATGAGATCAAACAGGAACTCAAGCAGGACAACATCGCTGTCAAAGCCAATGCTGTGTGCAAGCTCACCTATGTAAGATCTCCCACCCTACACCGATTCACTGACTGTTATGTTTAGTTCCTGATACACAGGCATTGATATGCTTCCACACTGAGCATCACTATAAAAAATATATTCAGCAGCAACTTCAAAATGTTTAAGCCAACTTAAGAGAATTGAATTTGGTGCCTTAATTTGCTGAGTTTAATAATGTAGAAAGGAACCTCACACAGACTTGAATCAAACCCTGTTGTTTTGGCTCAAGTCTTTATCAGGATCATATAGGGTCAGAAACCACTTTATACATTTGTAGAAATTATGTACAGAACTACTACTTTAATATTTAGTTTTTATAGCAAAATAGCCAGCAGCCAACATGTACTGAGGACAGTATACAATTCCTGTTTAAACAAAAGCACTCTTTTCTGT